GGCTTCTTCATTTTCTAATACTCTGTCTATTTTCTGGTCCCACCAGTTCTTGCCTGCAGGCAACTGGTATTTCTTGCAGATATTTCAGTGCACCGTTGTTGCTACTTTGTCATGCTGTTGTTTGTAATTAGTGTTTGAGATCTTCTTGCACCAGCTAACTAGGTGGTCCACTGTGTCTTCTGCTTCTTTGCAGAGGCAGCATTTGTTGTCTGTTATTGTCTTCTCAATTCTGGCTTTATATGCATTTGTTAAGACTTGGTCTTGTGCAGCCAGAATTAGCCTCTCCGTCTCTTTCTTCAACTTGCCTGCTCTTAGTCATTGCCAGGTCTTGTTGTTATCTGCTTTGCCTGCTAGTTTTTTTTTAATGTACTGGCCATGTAATACTTTGCCTTGCCATGTCTCTTTTCTATTCTTCATTGGGTATTTTTTGTAGGCCAGTTTAGTCTCTTCAGTATTCAGTAAGCCATCATGGTGTACTAGCTTCAGTGCATCTTCTTCACTGTCCTTCAGATATTCTTCCAATGCCCTGTTTTTCTTTTTCTTCAATTGTCTGGTGTACTTGCAACTTTCTACACTCACCTTTGCTCCTTGGTAAGTAGAGTCTGTCAATATCACTGTATGGATGAAGGACATGATTAATTATCATTATTTTTCTGGTCTTCCTATCCAGGGCTTCTAGTTCTGCTTTAGTCCAGTCCACTAATGACTGGAATTGCCCAGGTGTTAATTGCCTTGACAGTATTTCCTCCACTGAGTTTGACTTTAAGATCTTCTTCGCTCTTCACTCGTTAAGATATATTTACTACTAACCTTCTTCTTGACTTCAGTGTGCTTGATGTTTTCAGCTTGAAGGGTGCCCAGGTATTTGTAGTGATCTTCTTCATCCAGACTCTTGATGTTATTTCCATTCCTTCAGTTTTCACTATTTCCCCCTGTTGATAGTAAGGGTGGCACATTTGCCCAGTCCAAACTCCATTGCAATATCTTGGCTGTATATTTGGACAGGGTTGAGCAGCGATTCCATTTCAGATGGTGTTTTTCTATACAGCTTCTGATCATCCATGTAAAGGAGGTGGGATAGCCTGGGAGATGTTTTTGATGTTTGATAGCCATGGCCTGACTAGTTCAGTATTGTTGACAGAGGAATCAATGTAATGACAAACAGTAGTGGTGATAGTAAGTCTCCTTGAAAGATTCCTATCTTGATGTTAACCTCTCCCAGTCTATCATCATTGATCAGCAACTGTGTCTTCCATTGTGCCATTAATCTTTGCACAAAGCTTCTGATGTTTTTATTGACTCCTGTTATTTCTAGGCACTTGATTATCCAGTCATGTGGCAGGGAGTAGAATGCCTTCTTGTAATCAATCCAAGCTACATTCAAGTTGGTCTTCCTTCTCTTACAGTTTTCCAAAATCATCTTGTCAATTAAATGCTGTTCTTTTGTTCCTCTGTGGTTTGGGCAGTTTCCTTTCTGCTCAGATGGCAAAAGCTTGTTTTCAACTAGATGCTGTTGGACTGCATCAACTACCATACCAGTTAGCAATTTGAAAGTTGTTGGTAAGCAGGTACTGTAATTGGCCCGTAGTTGCCTATTGCTGCCACTTTTATTGGATCTTTCATGATCAGGTAGGTTTTGTCAGATGTTAACCAATCTTCAATTTCACCTCCTTGTAGTATGTTGTTAAACTGCTTGGCAAT